TTAGGTTGGAGATTAGGAAGAGCTTCCTGACTACAAGTGTGATCAAGCACTGGAACAGGCTACCTAGAGAAGCTGTGGCATCTGCATTCCTGGAAATTTCAAGAGCAGGAATGGTTTAATTAGGGATGATCCTTTCTTGAGCGTGGGGTTGGACTAGATGACCTCATGAGGTCTTTTCCAGCCCTGCTTTCTTACAGTCCTATGATCGTAGAGAGACATACCTTCACATGACAGAGTTGGACAAGATGGTGATTTGGAGCAGGCAGGCTCCTTGCCTCTTAGACTTTTCCTGGACATGGTTACAGCAGCACACCAATCCTTTTTCACTGCCCAATTTGAGACTCTTGGAAAGGATTCTGACTTGCAGAGGTATCATTATCTAAATGCAGGACTCTTTAATGGTGTCCCTGCACAAAATCATTGTCACTTCGAGAAATTTTGGCTGCCAAGGATTTCCAATGAGTAAGTAGCTGTGAATTGTCCTGGATGAGAATTTTATCAGCTGCCATTCTGTCTCCTGCCTTTTCTCCACGAGATGGCAGACAAACAACAAAAACAGAGTGACTTTGCTTCCTTCATCCGGACCAATCGAGCTGATCGATCCACTTGAGTTTTTGGCACTGAGCTGCAAATAAGAAGCCATTTGTTTAGTGGACCGTGTGACCCTAGCTTCTGCCCGTTAGCTAATTTGGGGGAAGTCCCTTCTGCTGGAGAATTTTCTAAGGGTCTCTGGGGGTTCTAAAACACTTCCGTTTCATGTAACTAGATAGACAGATATGGCCTTTTGAAGAGGATTGAAGCTGGAGATCGCTATTGTATAAGTGGTTCTTCTTTTCTAGGAACTACTATACAGTGCCCATGAAAATTACTGATAGTATACTCGCTTCCTAGAGCTTGGTTTTACATCAATAAACCTAATTAAAATCAGTGTTATCCACCTGCTACTAATACCGGTAATGGTCAATATCCAGACCACTCCATACGAGTCCATTTTCCTTCCAAATGCTTCTTTACTCCCCATCCTCTGGCAAAATCCTGAGCAAAGGGATGGTTCTGACCTCATCCTTTGGAGCACAAAGTGTGTGAAGCCCCAGGATCTAGGACTATTCCTAGAGAACACCCTCTTCTTACAAACCCTAGTCAGATGACTTTTACAGGGTAGGGGAACTAAATCATCCCAGAGTGAGGGAGAGGCTTTACTACAACTTACTCAGTCATCCTAACTAAAGTGGAAGGTGTGAAACATGGCCTGGTTAGCAAGAATGAGACAGTTCTGCTCTCCTGCACGGTGTAGCTGAACTAGTGGAGAAGACAGCCTAGCCTTCACCTTGGCCCTGGCAGAGTAGTGTAACCACAGGTCTGTACCACCGCCAGCCAGACTGAGCTGGGCACTGGTCTTCATGCAAGCTGTCCATTTACCACCTGTCTGAAAAGATGCTGCAAACCTGTGATATCTGGTGGCCAAAGTCAAAACACTGTTCCCAGCACCCTGCTAGGTAAGCAGCAGAAATGTATAAGCTTTTGTGGATGACAGCCTGCTTCACCAATAGCATCTGACAAGGTAGGCTGTCATCCACAAAAGCTTATGATTTGTGAAAGAGGTACTGTAGTCTCCAAGGTGCCACCCTGCCCTGCCTTCTGCCTGTTAACAGTTTGGGTGAGTAGGACGTGGCCCAAAGCAATCTGAACTATCTTCTAATAACGTGTTTACATGGTAAAAAGTGCCATGGTGTCACTTCCTGCTGATCATGTAGGGTATGGTATAGTAGAGAGTGGCATGAAGAAGAGCAGCGCATAGGAAAGAAAACTGGTCTTTTGTAATAAATATAGATGAATGCAAAATGGCTGGGCCAATGACTGAAATAGGGACAGAAATCAATGCAAACAAGATCTAAAGGGATGGAGTGAAACACTCCTTTACTTAGTGGTTTATTATAGTTGCCTGCATTGCCACGGGATTCAATCTATGGTTTAGCATACGTGACCCTCACAACTCAGTTACTGCTGGCTTTGTGTTGAGTTATTGACTGTAGTGCCACCTCTTCCCACAGAGAACAGTATCCCTTCCTCGAGGCAGTTTTCATCCGATTGTAATAGCTCTCTCCTGACATGCTTTAATGTTTTTGTAGGGTGAATCGATGGCTGATGTGCTGTAGTCCTAGCTGCTCTTATGAAAAACAAATGTGTCATCCTGTTTTCACTGCTCTTGTTCGAAGCCCGCTTCCATTTGCTTAAGAAATTATAAGTAGGGTTCTAGCCTGAGTGTGTCTAAACTACAGAAGTTGTACTGCTTTAACTGTACCAAAAGAAGTAAAGGATGTAACTGCCGTATTATAGCCAGAATTATACTGGGATAGCTTAATCCTGCTGGGGAGGGAAATGTGCTATGCTGGTGTAAGGCACCTTGATACCTATTTAAATTGCTTTCAAACTGGGACTTTGTATCTTTGTATTGGTGAAAAAATAATCACATTTATACTCAAAACACGTACAGTTATGCTAGGCTCTAAGTGGTGAGTTATTCGGCAGATAGCATTAATGTTATCAGTCAGGTGTTCGTTTCAGCAGGAGGAGTCTGCATCCAAATTCCTGCACTGCTCTACTTTGTTATGTGTGCTTCCTATGTAATGGGCTAGAACGGGTTTCTGCTTCTAGGCAGGTGGATCTATTTATGCAGCAGAAGTTTTTCTTACATTTATTACTCAGATTCTGTGAGCCCAGCCTGAGCCAGACTGGGTGCTGGCCACCTCCAGGCACTCTTGGTCCCACCAGCAGTCCTGTATCTATGTTAGCATCAGCGCACACAGCTGTATGTCACCTTACCTTGATGCATCCTTGCTTTGCCAAACTTAAATGAGCCTGGAAAGAGATCTTTCTCTCAGATAAGTGTAAAGATCTAGCTACATTTTCAGTTAAGAAGTCACAGTCTCTTTTTGTCCTAGCTTTTCAGGTATACTCCCTCACTTTCAACTAATTTCTTTGGAACAATAATTTTTATTCTAGATCAAATGCGTTTTTTTTTTAAACAGGAAAAACTCCATCTAATGCTAGTAGAGATATGGTTTCTGGGTGGCGTTAGCGTTGAGGCTATTGTCCTGTTGATGGAAACTACTTCTACATCAACTGGGTGAGGAAGAGTTTATAGTTTGTGAGTGATTTAAAGGGCAAGTGCTGTAGCATCTCTTATTGAGGCACCTATGTATTAAACAGTACAATAAACAAAGTATTTTGCTGTGTCTTGCAGGAGGAAAACTGTGAGCCAGCCACGCTGGATCTTAGTATGTTAATTGTATGACTGGAGTTTAAACTCAGAAGAGGCGGCAAACAGGAAACCACAGGGTGTTTTCCAGCCGGGCATTAGATAGAGCAAGCAGCAGAATGCAGTCAAAACACCCAGCTGATCTGACCCTTGGGCTTGGGGTGAGATTGTAAGGGGGCTCATGTTCAGGTGGATTTTATCCAGCCTGAAGTTACGGAGCTAATGTCATTTACCAACAGAAACAGGCAAATCAGTGGGGAGGTTGTTTTAGCTTCCTTTTACAATGCATCATCGTTAAGGATCATCTTTGAGAACTGCCTTCCTCCATGCTATAAAACTAGGACTGTGTGAAGAGTTGTGATGATTAGGAGCTACACCTGTGCCTCCTTACAGATTGAAAGGCTTGTTGTAAGAATTAAGAGTACAAACACATTCAGTTCCTGCTGTATTGTCATACATAGAGGATCTCCATCGTTTTCTGTGTTGGATCAGAAAGAGCATGCAACTTTTTTAATGAAAATAAATAACATACTTGAACAGAATTGGGAAATTCTCTATAACTAATTCTTAGAGTCTTTAAGTCAATCAGGATTTTGGTGTAAAGAACCTTAATTCACCTAAAACTGACTGAACTCAGTCAAAAGTTATTGGAGTGATTTGGGTTCTGTGGCCACTGGATGGTACTGGTAATGACGCTGGCTTTAAAATATTTTCCTCTGAATCAAAGTTGCTAAGCAAACAAGCTGCCTCTCCTGGGGCATCTTTTCAGCAGATTTTTTTTATGTCCAACGTGGGCACACTGCAAAACAGAAATCAGGCGAAACAGCTGGATCCTCCAGCTTTGAGCCTTGAGTAGGGAGCGGTCTGGAGTTAGTGCTTACTGACCAACCCTCGTGAGTACTTGCCCTCCCTAAAATCCACATCCTCTGTTTTGTAACTGAAAGTTTGCAAAGAGAGTTGTGCGAGCCTTGCCTCCTTCGCCACATTTTAGAGGGCTAAGCACCCTCTTACAAGAATGTTAGCCAACTTACATTTAGGCCTTATTATATGTGAAGTACTAATTTACCTGCAGCCATGTACACCTAGTTGATATTTCCACTGAACACTGGGGGCCTGGGTATCTTGGCATAGTTGGATTACAGCACCAAAAATCAGCTGGCTGAAGCCGATCCTAAATGGAGACCTGAATAGCTATTTGTATCTACCCAGGTTTTTTTTAATGTTGGCGAAGAGCGTGTCCATTTTGGAGGTGTAGAAAGCTGACCAGGGCTTTCCCTGCTGTCAGGGACAGTTGCTACTTAGGCTGCACTGAGGAGGAGTGAAGAGGGGTGAGAAATGGGTGTGCAGATATGACGGGTTGGTATGGACAGTAAGAAGGGATGCTGGCTATGGAGCCCAGGGTTCCTTAATTTCTAGAGCACAGCACTAGTGCAATTAGCAGTCAGATTTTTCCAAAGCAACAAGATGTTATTGAAAACAATGGAAGCTGGAGTTTTTGTAACTCTAATCCTATTTCTGGATGTTGAACACTCTTAAGTTCCCATTTGAGTCACAGGAAAAGGGTATTCCTAAAACAATTTTCTTCCGTCAGTGTTCACAATATAATGATTGTACATTGCTATGTGATGTTTTCTTTCAGAAGCACAGCTGAAGGAGGTTGAGGAAATGCTAGAGCAGGAAGGCTTGTCTGAAATAGCTCACAGCAGTCCCAGTGAACAGATTGCCTACTTACTGGTGGAAAGAACTGCATTGTTGGAGAAGTTAGAGATTGCAGATCAGAAACTGGATTCACACAACTACGTAGATAGCCTGTGTGCAGCACAGCTCCAGGTATTTGTCGGTGGCTTTTGAATTAATATCCAACCAGTTTCAAAAAAAGGCAAGTTTAAGTATATTTCCATAGGTTCTTTTATTTAAAAAAAATAATCTTTTTACAGCCTAGAAGAAGTCTGAGAGTTCTTAAAACTAAAAGCTGTTTTCATGTTATTTTGTACCCATCCATATTTGCATTCACTTTGCTCATGAGTTCTGGAATGGGATGATTAATGAAATTATTAATATAAAAGGAGAAAGTATGTTGAAGAATTTGCTACACAAAAGAAAATCTACCTATTTTTTTACTTATGGCTCCCTTGCCTTTTTACCCTTAAACCCTGGAGGGAACTAATCTGGTCCAAGTTTCCCATACTCTGTTGTTAAGGATGTAGAGTGGCTGCACCCATGAGAGCCCCCACTGGGTGCTGATAATCTGCATACTGTTACGTATTTATTTATGGCAGTCCTTTAACGGTATCAGTTAATACATAACACATAAAAAATATACGTAGTGCATATGCACTACAAAACATTCATAGCACAATTTTTATTACTACGGTCCCCAAATCCCATAAAGACTTGCACACATACATAGGGTGCTTCGCATTAGGTTAGACAGGTTATTTGTGCAGCTTGTTATGTATCTGGGGGCAGTATGAGGTTCATATTACATTTTTGAGGGGTGCAAATTGGCTAGAGCGAGGGGAAGTCTCCAGCATTACTCTGGTAGGGTCATTCAAGCATATTCAGTATCAGCATATTTCTTTTTACAGAGTTGTGCCCATAGGATCTAAAAAGAAGAGACTCTCAGGACATCACAGGGTTAAAAAAGGCAAAGACTCTCCAGTTTCCAATAAACAGCAGAGAGTAATAGGCAAGTGAGAGCTTTTAAAGAGTCATTTGGGATCTGTCCAGATAAAAGACCCTTTTACATATAAGTCATAAATAAAGTCCCTGGCAAATCAAGATACGTTAACATTTGATTGATCGATTGATTTGATTTATATGTTGTCCTTTCCAAGAAAGGCTCAGGGCAGCTTACAATAAGGGAACAGAATAACTTATAAAAGAGGAGAGCAACAAGAGAACAGAGGTGACTGTGTACTAGTGTCCAGAAAGATTAGCCATGGGCCTTTGTTAGTGTTGATTTATTAATATCTCTTTGCATGCAAGGATGAGTTTGATCATATCCATCAGACCCTAGAAGATGAACTTCAGCAACAGCGTGAATCCATGCAACGTACTAAAGAGACAATGAATAAGGTAAAATGTTTATGCAAGATTTTGCTTCCTGTAGAGTAGGTGGCTCTAATTTCATACAAAGAAATGACTGTAGGAGGCAAAATGGGATGCAAATTACTTTGATAAAGAAAGTCTGATCAGTGGGAACAGTCCCCATCTTCCAAATAAAAAACATCCACAGTCTGGGAGCCGGCGCAGGCTACAGCAGGCAGAGGTTTGCAGTCCCAGGTCTTCTGGAGCATGTGCTTCAGAAGGAGGAGTCAGTTTTCTGCTGGAGCCACATGGAAAACGCATTTGGGGATGAGGGTGACCTGGGAGAAGAAAGGGAAAAGACGGGGAGAAAAAGATGAGGGTAAGACAAAGGAAGATTGTGGATAAAAAAGGGAGGAGAAGAAACAGGAGGGACCTACAAGGCGATGAAAGAGAAAATAGTAAATCAAAAGAGAAGCAGTAGATGAAATAGTTGAACTTTATGTGGCAGTAGGAGGAGAATGGAAAAGGGAGATGGAAAGAGCGTGAAAAAGATTGGGAAATGGATAATGGAGTGGCCAGAGTGACTTGTTTGGAAAGTTTGAGCAAAAAGCGTTTTCCCCGTATAAACTAAATGAATGCTTTTATGCCCTCGTATGCAGCCTTCCAGCCAAAATAGTTGTTCTCGAAGGACCTGGTTCTCACTGCTGGCTTGTCTGCTCTTGGCACTGCTGATTCATCCTTTTCAACAAGCCAAAGGCACTGGCAAGAATGCACAATCAGCTAGCCTTTTGGAACAAGCTATCAGGGGGCATGGTAACATCTCTGTTTCCTGAAAACTTCTAGTCATAGAAGTTGTTTTTCCCTGGAAGATGTGCGTAAATCTATGGCAGAAAATATTCTTGAGATAAAGTCTTTACCTTTGTATCTAATTGGGATTCATTTGGAAATCACCAGTGACTAAAATCAGCCACTAGACAGCAGCCATGATATGCACTCAAAGCATATCTGTGAGATTTCTTAAATAAAGTCTGCCTCTCAATACTCCCACAGCAGTAGGTCCTACTTGGCCACTACTGTAGCTGCTGTGAGCATTCCCATGCATTCCTGAAAGCTGCAGCAGCACATGTTGTAGGTGTGCATAGCATATTCCATTTTCTTTTCCCTATTACTGTTTGTGTTTCAGTCCCATAAGGAAGAGCTGGAAAAAGAGAAAGTCTTACGAGAGAGTGTAGAACGAGACTTGGATGAGGCTGCGCAGAGGCTACAAATGGCTCATGAAGAGATCCGGAGGTTGACCGATGAACTGGATGTGCAGAAAAAGGAGCAAAGCAAATTGGGTAAGTTGTTTCTCTTACAGGCACATGCATTTCCAGGTTATAGACAGGTGCTGGGCCTGGTCTTCAGAGCTACATTTCACCTGCCTTTTTGATTGGAGTAGTGGATGCTTAGCACTTCCAAAAACCAGGCCTGTTTGGTGTAAGCCTTGCCCTTCCCAGCAAGAACAGTCCCAGAAAGGTACTCTTAGCTCATTCCTGGCTCTAATGTGGAGCATGGCATGTGTGTCCTACACATACCTAATGCTTTGGCATTCTGAGCAAGTCCAGCCAGCAGCCATTTGGGATACCAAAACATCAGCTGTTTTGACATGACGATGGCATATTCCTGGTTGCCTCTCTCTCAGTTGTGTGGAGAAACAAGCCAGAGGGCTGAACTGTTACACCGTCAGACTGGAAGCAGAGATGCACCGCACTCATTCTCTTGTACCAGCTGCAGAATGGGTCCCTGCATCACTCTTGTTGTAGGCTGCAGATGATGCATTTCAGATTGTTCTGCTCTCACCCTTCCCAGTTGGTAAACCTTCTGCACAAGAAGCCACCTTCCCCTGAGCAGCCAATTAGTCATTAAATCATTTACACCTGGAATCTAAATGTGACGTGTGACTGAAAATTTTTAAAAAACCAAAAATGCAAATCTGGGTAAAAATAACAGTGTTTTGGAAGGTTCACATTGCACCTTAAACCTCCGGTATTTCATGTTGCATCACAGTCCTTACAGCTCGAGTTGTATTTCCCCGGCAGAACTCCCAGCTTATCAGCTGGGTTAAATAACTTGTTTGAAGTATTAAGAAAATGTAATTTCATAGATTTCATAGACATTAGGGCTGGAAGGGACCTTGGAAAATAGTAATACACAGTTTGGCTGGAAGATACAAACAAGATGGATTAGGGAATTATAGTATCATGTGCTGATGTTACCTGGAGGCCCTGATCCTACTTTGTGATCCACGTGAAGCTGACTGCAATAGAGGTCTGTTAATTTCTGTGAGATTCCACATGGCGTATGTGCGTGCCGACTTTGTTGTAAGACTGTGCAGATCACGTGACTGTGACCACGTCAGCTGATTTTTGCGCACACAGACACTCCCTCTCAGCTACCTATCCGTTTCAATCAGCATCCAGTGTAGTGAGTTGCAAGCTAAATTAATCAAAGGCTTGGGAGGAAGCATTCTGAGCAGAGTTTTTCAGAGCTCCTGTGCTGATTGATTGGTAAATTTGCATCAAAGGGCATATGTCCTGCAATGTGTCACAACCTCCAGAGAATTTTACATCTCCAGATCATGAACAGAGCTGCGGTATTTGATTCCTTTCCCAGTGGAGCTTTGTGTGCATTGAACCAGTGAGAAATCTATTTATGATAAGTATGCCTGGTTTTGTAATCTGCATAAATGGAAAGTAGCATTTGACTCTCCAAATTGTAATTAAAGGCTTAATGTTTGACCTGTTTCTGTGCTTTGCTGGGCTTGGAGCATTAAAATCCAGAAGAATATTAACAAATGACAGTGGTTTTAATAGTGTATTTGGATGTCTATTACACCCTGTTGATTTAAGAATTAAAAGCAGTGTAGAAAATCACTCATAGAAAACTAAATGAGATACCTGATTTATTTAAGTGAAGTTCCACCCGGAAGCAATGTTTGCTTTTGTCTGTAGTACTTTGCAGCCTGGTGTTTGAGCTTAAGAGAAACTCTGAGATTCCTGTTAGGTGCTTGTAGTCCAATGTGTGCTTCCATGCAGGTGGCGATTATTCGTAAGTGCTTAAAATAACAGTCTAGTTATGGGCTCTTTGCACTCACACCTTTCAAGTCAGTTTTCTGTCATTTCCATTTTTGAATGGAAAACTTAAAGAAAAATGTCAGAATTCCATGCTCAGCAAAACAAGAATGGATTGTAAAGTTATTATTGGGTACATCATTGGTAAATTATTACTTTATTGTTGCTTTAGAATCTGCTTTGCGGTCAGCCTCCCAAATGACTGAGAGCTGGAAAGAAGAGAAGAATAAATTGAAAGATAGTGGTAAGTCACGTGTTAGCTAAGATGCTTACTGATGTTGTTTAAAAGTATGACTAGTTGACATTTTTTCATTTAACTCCTGTTTTCAACTAAATGAAAAGGTATGTGTTCCTTTACTTTTGTTATTACTAACTGAACTCTGACGCACAGAAGAGACCAGGGAGAGGGCAGCACTTAATTCACGGAGGCTCGTTGATGAATTTTCTGTTTCTGTGATTTCTTGGGGTGTAGAGAGGACTGAGCTTCAGAAGGCCATGGAACACAACAACAGGTTGGATAAGGAAATTCTAGCATTGCGTGATCGGGTGCGATCACTTGACTCAGAAAGAAGAGTGTTCCTGGAACTGGTAAGTCTCTGGTCTGCGACAGTGTGGCTGTGTCTGTGCTTAGCCTGGGAATGACCTGCCTGAAATGGCTCTAATCACACCTAACGCTTGTAGCTTCTGCGCATCTTGTTCTCTATTTGCTTCCTGTTAATCTTTCCCTAGCTGGAATTCCATTGTTTCATGGTTAGGATATACTGAATGAATCTGATATTACTGGAAACATTTAGACATTCACTGTTTCTATAGAGAAATTTCTAAGCCAAACTTTTTCCATATTGACTACGGGTACCATGGGCTTGATGGCTGTGGGAAGTACTAGTGACCTACCATTCCAAGTGAAGTTAGGAGTAGCTGTGAATGCTCGCCACCTTTGAAAAGCAAGGCATATCCAGCCAGACACCCACAATCATGTCCCTGTATAATCTTAAATGCTTTGCTGAAAAGGGCTGGGATTGTGATGCTTAACTTTAAGCGTGTGCTTAAATACTTTGCAGAACCGGTACCTTGACATTCATGTTGTCTTCCTAAGCCCAGGTTACCAGAGGAACCAGATCATTTTCTTTCAGTAGTCTGTGCTTGTTGTGATTTACCAGAAAAACAAATTTTATCGGCACTGATACTACAGTTTTTGGGGGGATTGGTGATAAAGGGAGTGAGTAGTGTTGATCCATGCAATACAACATTAAAAATTCCCTTGCTTCTTTATGAGTTTCAATTTACACTTAAATTTTGAGATCCATTAGCTTGCCTGTTTTTAATCTATTACTGTGTTCCCTATTGATTTTTTTTAAATCAAAATGCCAGGGGTGCTAACTCAAACTTTTTAGAGAAGTCTAAATCTGTTACATCAGCACTATGACGTTTGCCAGCCAGACTCGTGAGCTTATCACAGAACAATATCACATCCATTTTTCATGGAACCAGATAAATTGGAAGTCATTATATTTATGTTCTTTAGCTCTTTAGTCCCACATCAGCCTTTCCATTATTTTGTTTCAGGCCAATACCAGACTAACTAGTCTATAATTTGGGGTCCTTCCATTTAGTTTTTCTAAATATTGGCTCCTTCGATTCCTTCTAGTTCTTTCAGCTTTTTCTCAGTTTTCTTAGATTTAGTACAGGTAAATATCTGTTACTCAAGAGTTCCTTGGCCAACATGTTAAAGCTCTTTGATGCAATTTATCCAGACTGGTAGATTTAAGTAGCTTTAATGTTGGTATAATATTTTATTCTTGACAAATTTTAAATATTCTTTCCTATTGGCCCCGATTCAGTAAAACATTTAAGCCTGTGTGCAAACCATACCATATTTTCATTATTGTAAATGTTTGCAGGTTTGGGGGCTTCTAGTAAAATACTATGAAACAACTCCACTTTTCATTCACATTTCCGTATATATGGCATATATATACTACAATGATTTTGTCCTCGTAATTGCATTTAACTTCAGGACACTGACACTTTGTAACTGTCACTTGATCATTTCTACCTGAGAAATTCCTAGTTTTTCGTTCAATGATCATTTTCCTCTGTGAGAATGAGATTTAATATTGAATCACCCTTGGGGTGAATACAATACTTTTCCTGTTAGAAACTGTCGTCTCACATTTGAGTAAACTCCAAGGCAATTTTACTACTGGTAACATGGGCCTACAGCATAGGTCTTCCAGACTGAGGGCTGGTGTTACAAAGATTTTCTTTCTGTGCAAGATTCTACGCAACATTTTGGCTTTGTCTCCCATTCACTGTAATTACTTTTTAATTACATGTGAAAGGAGGCTGATATCTGAAGCTGAAAATCTATGACATGGCTTGCAGAACAGGGTGAAAATGTAAGAGGGCTGTAAACCCCCATCACTTTTTCCCATACAATATTTGGAATATCTTTCTGAAATTCCTCCTTCTCAAGTAGTCTGGGATACATTTTATGTATCTTCTAAAAGATAAATGTAGGATCACATCCATTATCTGTGCTCCATAAATATCAACAATTTAGACACTATAATATTCTTGTATAAATCAAATAGAGACTGAATCTGACGCAACATGTGCAATTCAGTATTGATGTGAGAATCTGCTTTTAAACATCCCGAATGCTGCATATTTGGAATCTGAATATCTTCAGTTGAATTATTACATACTTTTAGCATTTCATCTAGTCATTTATCTTGAAATAAGTTTGATCAGATTTTAACTGTTGTTCGTCTAAGAATTTAACCATACATTTTACTTGCATATTTGAGTTTTGAGCTACTTGTTCCAAGCCCTTGAATTAAAAAAACTAAGGAAGATGTTGTTCCCATTAAAACCCAGCTATAAGTAATGATTTGTGCTGCTTTCTTTTTGGTGATTTGCTCTGAGGCTTTCAGGGGAAGGTACAATGGTCTATTTTTATGTTTAAGGTTGATAAGCTCAAAGAGGAGATTTGTGAGTATCAAAAGAATGAGAAACCAGGACAATTATCCCCTGAAATGAATGAAGAAGCTGCGGGCTGCACAGGACAGGTAATATCAGTGACTAACTTCTGGCTTCCCACTCTAGAAATCTCTCAAAACACAGATAGTTTCTTTCTTTCTCTGTGTAAGATTTGTGTCAGGAACCAGAATATGCCACATCTATACTTTTATTCTAGTCAGGTAAAATTGATATTTTCTATTTTAAACTTGAGTGCATCTCAGAAAAATGCAATTGCAGCACAGCTGAAGAACACATTTAGAGTTAAGTGCAAAGTCTCTGCAGTTGTAAGTTGCTGCTGCTCTATTGGCTGCATTTGCACTCCAGCTGGGATTGCTGTAGAAGATTCGGCATTGTATAGGGGATGGGCAAGGTTGCTGGCTTAGCCCAGTGCTTCTCAAACTTTGTACACTCAATGCTCCCCTCAGAAAATGCCAGCTCTTTGCTGTCATTCATTTGTTGACTGTGGAAAAATACTAGAGCAATTCTTCTGTTGCAAAGAACTCAGAAAGACCACAACAGGTCAGAACGGTTTTTAGAGTATGGGTTCCTCTTTAAAATCTCTGGGTTTGTCTTGTGAATCGTGTATGCATCTGCACACCTAACGGTGCTAATTTTGCATGCCACCCTTAAAAGGAGCTCATGGCACTCTGGGTGTTAATCACCGGCTGAGCCCATACACTGTAGTATATTCTTGGTATGAGCCCTCCCAAGGAGTTTTATTTATGTTAATTTGTGCTGACTTATTTATTCTGTAGATGCAGGATAAAAAGGATAAAGTGAGGGCTGAAGAAACGTTTTTTGCAGCTGAAACTGCCTCAGATCAGGAAAGCAGAGATCAGAATGATGAGGCCCTTCATAAAAGGTGAGTATACTTCAGCAAAATTCAGTTTGTCAAGTTTCAACTTTTTCCCTTTTAGTTGTCGTCTTCTGTTGTCACCAATCAGTTGTCCCTGCATAGCTTTAGTCTAGAATGCACTAGTCTCTTTTTATGGCAAGTTTTCCCATGCTGCAATGTTAGTTTAATTGGACAGTTAGCTTCGCTCATTTGTTCATAAATCTTAAGACTTAGAAGTAACAGAGTCTTCAACTCACCCTTAGCAACAGGGTCAGGACAGGTGAATGCAACATGCTCCAGAGCTTTCTTCAGCCTGATGTAATGTTTCTTAAGGAACAAGGCTTCTTTCATTCCTTTGGAAACAGCTCCATATAATCTATCTCACACTGGAGTTTTCTCCCTGATTCAGAGTCTAAAATTTCCTTCCGCCTCCCCCAAACCATAATGCTTCTCTTTTTATTTTTGGTTTGTTGTTTGGGTTTTTTGCTGGTATATCATGTTGCCAGATCACATCAAAGGTTTTGGTTTTGGAGTAAAATACCAGATTGGGGTCAAAGTTAGGGTTACTGTAGTCCAGATTTGATGTCACTTAGGACAGACAAGACCAGTCTCTGGAGTTTATAAATGCTTTTGAGGAATCTTTGTGTTTTCCATGGTAGTCTCCTCAACCCCAGTGTGGGGAGCTGGGTTCTGCCAGGATGCATGAAGGGTGACTTTTTTCCTCTGACTGATTGTGTTTATATGATACCGTGGTGACAGTTTGTGATTGATGTATAGGTGCCAAGAGGTGATTAAAGACATCGAAAACAAGAATTCTCAGCTTCTGAACAAGTTAGAGAAGGTGAAGCAGGAGCATGAGGACTTGATTGAGCGTAATGAAGAATTAGAGGCAATTCTGGGAGAGACTCAGAACCAGACCAAAGAAGAGAGGGAGCATTTTGAGTTTGAAGTTGAAGGACTTCACATGAAAGTAAGTCAGAAATTAAATAACCTCTTTTAGCTTTATCTATTTTTTCATTCTACAAATTGAAAACTAAAATAAAATTATAAGAAAAGAAAAGCTACACAGTGCTGTGCTCTTTGGGTTTGTAGAAATACCACTAGCAAAATCCACCACACCATAAACTCTGAAAGAAGAGAAGAAAAAGTCAAGCAGCTATTAAATGGCACTTATTATAAGGTAGCAATGATTTTCCTGTGAGTTTGGCAGTGTTGTTTCTCTTATGGTCAGATGTTACTTAAAATTGTTTCCCCCTAACTCTGAGAACAAACATTCAGCCATGTGTCTCAGTTCTCTTATATGGGAAATGAGCTTCATATTCATGCTGTGTCTTTGTGCAGCACTTACTCGTGTTTAGATCTCAAAGTAGCACCCCATTTAGAGACGGCATCTCTGGTGTGTGGATTTGAAATGTTTTATTTAGATTGGGTACTGTGGTCGAATGGGTAAGGCAAGCCTCCATCACATAGGAGGTCTGGGCCGTGCTTTCAGCTCTGCTAAAAACATTTTCAATCACCTCAATGCCCAGAACCTGATTATCAAGCATGGATAGCTTTCAAATCCAGAGTAACCATTTGTGGGAATTCCAGTGCTTAGGACCACAGAAGATCATATCATGTAATGTAGATTGTCTAAACACATGTTGAATTAACAATGCAGCCTTTAAAAAACAAACGGGTTTTCCTTGGCAGTTCCCAAACCTAATCCCTGCTGGGGACTTTCAGCATAGCACAGGGACATCTAGCGGTTAAAATACATAATTGCAAGCACATTTCCCATCTGCATTTCAGTTTATGACTTCATCTCATCACTTAAAACAGTCAGAGGAATTTGCAGGGCCTTGACAGCTCTTGGGACTTGGCCCCAGATCAGCAAAGTTGCACTGCACAATGATGAATGTTGTACAAGTGTGATGTGTGGAAGAATTACAAAAGGTGCTAGATGGTTGAGTGCTCAGTTGCATGAATGTATATTAGTTTGTGGAAACTGCACATGTCATGGGGATAGTCATCCTTGATGCCATTCCATTGACTCTGTCCTAGCATTTTTTTAAATGCACCCACTCTGTATTTTTATGTATAAAGAGACTGGTCTTGTGAGCTGAGATCAGTTTGGCTGCTGGAGATATAAAACCCAGTAAAACTTTTCATACAAAGGGCACTGACATCACGGAGGTGCACATGTTCTCATACTTGAGCTGACAGTGGGGTTTGAACCAAGAGGCTGGAGTGCTTGACCTAGGTCTGGGATTTTCATAAGGGCTTGGCGGACCCGGTTGCTCAGCTTGCATTGAAAGTTACAGGGAGAAGTTGTGGAGGAAGACTCCTACTTGCCTTAAGCCCTTTGAAAATTGTAGCCTAAAGTAATAATTATCATCTCCAGGAAATACCCCTGTGCTGGAGATTCCCCAGTTTGATGTTCAAGGTCATAATCCAGCAAAGCACTCAGTCTTTTGGCATGTGAGATCAGAGTGGTCCCTCTGAACTCAGTGTAGCTACTTGCATTCTTGAGTTAAGCACAGAGTTAAATGTTTTGCTGGATCGGGTCCAGAGTACTCAGTGCTTTGTAAAACCAAGCTCTGAGCCAGCTTCATGGTCCCTTTGTGCTGTTGGAGAGGCTAGAAGGGGCTGTGGATCGAATCCAGCCTCGGCCTGGGCAGCAGCTGTGTTCTGCACGGCATCTCGTGGAGGAGGGGAGAGCACCATTGGCTGAACATTTTAACACTTCCCAAAGGCCAAGTGTCATTTGGATGGGGGAGGTAGAAACCTCCCCATGTTACAGATCTGGGAGGCCTCTATAACACTGAGGGGGTGGGTGGTTTCCCCAGCTGCTTCTCTTTCAGGATCAGCAAGAAGAAGGCCCACAAACTATAAGGGTGTTTAATTTTAAGCAGATATCTGGACCTCTTTCCTGAGTTCCTCCAGAGATCTTTGTTGTGGAACTGGGTTCTTTCTTTTTTTCACTGTTTGGTCTTGAGCAGCTAATTCACCCTTTTGGGCAGCATCCATCGCTTGTACTGGATTTTGCCTGGCGCCCACAGCTATCAGTACAGTATTTGCTTCCAGCTCCTTTGTTTACTGACTCGATGCTTCTATAATAAATGTTTTCGTGATTCAAATGGCAAATTTATGGAATGTCTTTTAACTTGTAATTTGTGTGTGTTGAGATCACAAGTTTAGAGGAAGAACTACTCAAGATGCAGAAGAATAAAATTGAAGGCAGTGCGCAAGATCAAGAAAGAGCTACAAAAGTGCAGGATTTCCAAGAGGTAAGAGACCTTAATTGAAACACAAGCTCTTCCATGTAAAAAGTTGAGCAGATTAGTTTCTATTACATGGGATCGTTTAGTTTTTATGGGAAGGCTCAGCCTGTCAGTCCATACCTAGGGGACAGCTATCTTTGGAGAGAGAAGCTTAACTTGCCAGTAATTCCCAGTTTTCCTGAGTTCCTGTCTTATGCTGCAGAGTTACAGTCTGTGGCACCCCATTGGCATACTCCCTGCTTTTGCATACGGTATTGGAAGCTTACACTATTTTGTCACATGCCTTTGAATATTTGATGCTTTTCTAGAGTCTCATCTCCTGGAGTTGTGTGATGGTGTGTGAAACTTTGCTTACAATTTAGTACAAAAAATACATTTCTAGCCTTTCCAATTGTGGAGAAAAGCTGGAAAATGTCATCCCTAAAGGCTTCAACGTCAGAAAGCAATTAAGAGCCCCAGAGCTGGTATTTTTATTTAATCTAATGGTTTGGGGGGCCTAACATAGGAGTTCTGAATGCTCAGCATTAGCAGCCCTGGGCAGATTTAGATAATGCTTCCACCTGCGGCCACCTCATGACCAATGGCCTGCCAATATTTCTCACCTTCCAGTACGCTTAGGTCTCATTTAAATTACTCAGATTCTGCTGGCAAAACGTGGAGTTCACCTACACTCAGAGCTCCTCTGTGGTGGAGATTTGGCAGAGTGACGCCACTTCTTCCAAACTTGTGCCACTGTCTGGCAGCTGGCAGGAGGCACACGTAGACATTCCTGCAGCTTCTGCTTGCTGCCGTAATCCCGTCAGCAGATGGGGACTTCCCAGGAATGCCCTTTGATCTCTGTCAGCACAATTATGGAGTGAAGCCATGCAGAGATACCAGAAGTACATGGATGTGCACACACAATGGCCACTTGGCTGTCTGTCTGCCACCAGCACTTCTAGTAACAAAACCAGGTAAGTTGTAGACAAGGCCTCAGTCTGCCCTTCTTCCTCTGGATCTTTATTTAAGCTGTCAGGCTGGCTGGAAAGGTGTTGTTATTACAACAGTATATTAGTTTAGGGATAAGCAGTTCCCTCTGATGTTCCTCGGCAAGTTGTTTGATATTCAGTACACATAGTAACTAGATATCCGCATCTTTGCAAATCCTGGCTGTAGTCCTTCTTGAGTCTGATGGACTCTTGGTGGGACTCAGAACTTCTCTCCATACAGGTGCTGAAAGGTCATCAGGAGATGGTTGAAGTACTTGAAAGTAAGCTGTCAGAGGAGAGAGATTGGAGAAAGCAACTTGCAGCTGACCTTGAAATGACGCAGAAAGCGTTGAAGGCTGAAAAAACGGTATTGTGTGGTCATGTGTATTAGTTCTGGTGTGAAGCTGTTTTCTTGGGATATATGTATGAATGAGGAACTAGACACTCTCTGCATAAGTAGCATTTTTGGCTATTTAGACACACGGAGCAAAATAAAATTCTACCTCTTGTGCGTGAATACTACTAAATGCATAGCTAGGCTATCTAGGAATACATGTACAGGAAGAGGAGATCATGTCCTGGAAAACAGTGATATTGAAAAGGCCTTGTGGTTATTTTTAGATACCCTGGTAGAAGAAGTCGCATGATCTTTGGCTGAATTAATGGCGATTGTGAGTAGGACTAGAGCAATAGTATGATCTGTGTTCACAGCATGGCTGAGACCATTACTGAAATACCATACCACCATAAAATTGAGATTGTAAAGGAGGTTGAACAACTGGAAGAGATGTAAGAATGATTCAAGGTGTGTGGCTACATGCCTTATGTGAAAAGCTGTTTAGCTTGGAGTTTATATACACTAGAAAAGCCCCTGCTGCCATAGCTATGTTGATAGAGCCCATCAGCAGGGACACAGTATATTACAGCAGAAGGAGTTTTCCTACAGATGTAGTTTAAACCACCTCCCCAGCATGGTCAACACCCTTAGGGGCCACACAAAGCATATTATTTACTGTCGGAGCACTGGAGTTTACCTTTTCATGGAATGCGCCTTATTTTGTGCATGTAACACCCACCTACAGTCACAATTTGAGATTTTTCAGCTTAATTTTTGTCAGGGTACTTATGGAACAGAGTGGATGTCTGAGAGTTCAGGTAATATCTTTTTTTCTTGTAAATTGAAAGAGTAACTACATAAATGACAAGTGGTGAAGTTAGCTAATAAAGTACAAAGTCCCGTGCACAGTCTTTAGAACTTTCTTTCCTTGAAAAAACATCATTGAACAGCAAAACAGAGAAACAGCTCTTGGGTAACAGAGGCATGCTTCTTCCACTAACTCTTTTGTCTTAATTCAGGAATTACATAACTCAAAGGCAGAGCTTGTGAATCTTTATAATGAGCTCCAGAGTCTCCAAGATGCAGTAGAAGAAAGAGATGCCCATAATGTAGCTCGTGAGAAACTACAGATGGAAAATACTTTACTAGAAACAAAGGTAAGAATGTAGTGAGATCAATATTCTTTCAGTGTCTGACAGACAAAATCCGACAATCTATATGACTCAGCCACATAGGAGCTTTATATCCAGAGAGGGGTAGTTAGCTTTGGTAGTGTGAAGTCAGAGTTGTGACAGTTAACACTGGTATAAATTTGGAAATAAATATGAAGGTACACACTTCAAGGCTTAAGCCAGTTGCCACTAGAGATGAGCAGATTTCTCATAGCAGATTCCTCTGAGGCTTCTGCTTCTGGTGGATAGCAGCAATAGGATGCTGGACTATGCAGATCTTGGCATTTATTAATTTGTAATATCCTGAGAACTGCAGAGAGGCATACAAATAAATAAATGTGATTTTATGGCTGCACCTCTGGCGTTTATATAAAACTGCCTAAATGATTCCTCACTCACTGGAGAGGAATTGTGTGCAAACACTGCAGAAGCAGGAGAGTTTAGGATCATTTAAACATTATACTGCAGATTTACAAACCTCCTCGGCTGGAGTCGCTGAGTCTCTTGAAGGAGTTCTGTGAGATCACAGCAAATCAAGCTCATGATAGTTATTTCTGCCCAAACAGGTATCAGAGCTTTCACAAGTATGTGAACAATTAAACAAGCTTGTTCTGGAACAGAAAACAACAGATGAGAGTTTTAGTGCAAATGAAACAACATGTAAAGAGCTGATGTGTAAAGCAAAAATACTGGAAGAACAGATCCAAAACCTGGGGGACGAGAGACAACAGTTATGGTAAATCTGGTAAAACTTAACAGTGCCTTCTGTATTTTTGCCTCGTATCTTCACTGTTTAACTTAGAAATGCACAGTCTTTTAAAGACCGCAGCAGCACTGCTGCTTAGAACGTGCAGGCCTTCCAGATGGGCAGGTGCCTTCTTTTCTTCTGCTTCAGCCAGAATATTCAGCTGGCTGCCAGTGCAGACTTTGGCAAAGTAAACCCGGTTCTTTTCTCACTCAAACCGGTGTAAGTCTGGTTTTACACAATGGCTTGCGTGTAGTTACTCCAGGTTAACCCCTGTGCAAATGAGAGATGAATCTGGTTCCGTGGGAACAATTTTATTCTGATTTCTTTTACTGCAGCACCTAAAATCCTCATTCAGGGATAGAACCCTGTTGTGCTAGGTGCTGTAGAAATGCAGAACAACAAGATGGTTCCTGCTATCAGTGGCTTACAGACCAATTTTAAGATAAGACTTTTAGTTGTCTTTTTACTGCTCACCCTTGCAAACTTTTACCAAACAAGCTAACTCAGCTATAAATCTCACCTTTTGTTCCTGTGCATGAGTTCTGTGTGTGAACTGCACTGAAATTAGAGCACCCACACACTTGCACTAATGTAACAAGTGTGAGTTAAAACCAGTGTAGTTATTTCAGTCCAAGTTTGTACGTAGACTGACTCACAGGTAAAACAAATTCCTGCTGGGTGAAACTTCCCCTTTGCAGAACCATTAATACAAGGTCTGTACATCACCTAAACACTTCAGTGAAACTCTTGTGATGCACGAGTGTTTTGCCGGCTCTTGACATGATGGTGTATTTCATCCTTTGTGGGTTATTTGACTTAGATTTTTTGCCATTTTTCATCCAGTGCCAAGTTGTTAGGGAGCAACAAGAAAATAGAGGAGTTAGAAAAGCAGGTGAAGAGAAGCAATGAAGAAAAACAGCGATTACGGGAAGAAAATGCCCAGTTAAGGCAAGACGTTCTGGCTGCAAGGGAGCAATTGAACACCAGAAGTGAAGAGTCTGTAGAGAGCACACAAGAGAGAAGTCATGGAGGGAACTGGCCTCTCAGACCAAAGTGCCCTGAAGACAGTCCAGAGGGGATTATCAAGCAGGTATGAAAGCTTCAAAGAGCAAATACCACTTCTATGTCCTGTGTGATTTCTTTGTTTAACCAGTTTAGGAGGAAACTGAATAACAAACTGAATGCACGCACGGCCTTTATGTACTGATGCATTACATAAGGGGACAAAGATTGTCTAGTTTTCTGGGAGAGATGCCCCTAATATGGTGATGTATCAGTCTTATTGACCCATCTTCTGGCAGGAAGATACCTTTTTTCCATTTGGTATTGATTTGGATAACCTAAATAGATTGAGGTTTTTTTTAGTCTCTCACTGTAAAGTTCTAAGATGGAGCTTGATCAGTTACTGATCCTGTTCATGAACAGGATTGTATGGTGTGGCTTGCCAGCAAATCCAGGGGACTGGGCTTGGTGACATTGTGTCCTTCCAGTCCAGTGCTTATGTTCCCGTGCCATTGCTCAGATTTTATTTATTCCCTCCTTATTTATTTATTCCTGATATATTTTAAAAACTCACTCTTAATTAATCATACTGACTAAGAATTTTTCACTGATACTTTTGACTTCCCTATTCTCTTGTCTGCATTTCCTAATTGCTGGTTTGTATTCATAGTTACCGACTTTTCCATTTTTCTGTTTGTTAATAGAGTGGGGGGATTGTCTGTTTTTTGTTGTGTCTATATCTCCTCTTAAACAGGATTTTTTTAAAACAAATAATTCTCCTTTGTGCTAACTTGCCCTCCCTTGTTATGTATTTCTCCTAATTAATATAGTATCTGTCTGGAGAGAGACTCTTACAGCAGCATCAAGAGGAAATGCAGCAACTGAGACAGGATTTCCATAGAGTTCAGAATTTGTGCAGCTCTGCTGAGAAGGAGCTAAGATATGAAAGAGAGAAAAACTTGGACATAAAGAACCATAATACCTTGCTCCAACAGGAAATCGCCAAGGTACTGGCACTAACTGCTACAGTGCTAACGGCTCCGAGGTCATTCTCACTTGGAGACATACAAAAGCTTCATTCCAAGCTCAAAGAAGAAGGGCCAAATGCAAATTTGCTCATTTTGGGGATTACTATGCCAGATTCTCATTTATACGAAGGCCTGTTTAGTTCGCTCAGGCAAGTCAGTGAGAATCAGGCCTCACAGAATTTAGCACAATATCTGGGATTAGAAATCAGGATTTATTCTTCAAAACTTGCTTGGTCTGTACTCATAGGGACATAATGTCTAGTATGTGCGTCGTGGAGACTGTCTGAAAAACAGAGATAGCACCCAGTATACCTGCAGGGCTTAAGTCTTGTGAGCCATGAGACATCTTGGATGCTGACCTCATGGCAGGCTATGCCTAGTCTCATACATGTGCATTTATCTGACCAGATGTCAGCTCGTGCCATTCATTTGTATATTTTTCCCACTCCATTATTGCATTATTGTTTCTTCAAAGTTTTGTGTTAAACCTGTGGAAGCCCAACTCTGGAGGAATGTGCTCCCGCTGGGACTGGGTGCGGCAAGTGCTGGCTCAGCAAAATAAGTGTTTGCTCATTTGTTTTATTTTTTACTATTCTGGGTTGTCCAGCAACCCCACCACCATTTCTCCATTCATCACATGTTAGCTGAATCACATGTAGGCAAGGAAGTGAGGGCTAAATTCTACTGTTTTCTTTTGTGTCCAATTTAGGTTAAAGCTGAACTGAGACAGACCCAGCTGAAGTTGTCTGACTCGACCAAAACGTGCTCTTCTCTCACAGTGCAGTGCGAGCATAGCCAGCAGAAGTTCAGGGAACTTGAACTCGAGGTGCTGAAGCACTCTCAAACCTCTAAGCAGCAGAGCAGCCTGCAGGAGAAGCTTGCACTGGAGAAATCTAGAGCAACTGACATGGAGAAAAAGGTAAACCTGCAACCTAGCCCGTGTTCACATTGTGTCAACCCTCAACAGCCATATGCTGCAGCACTTCCAATTGATACCTGCAGTTTGTGCTTTAGGACCTGGATGTGTGTTTTGGAAGTTTTTGCTGATTTGTTTTGCCCTGGGGTTGTTACTGAATGTTCAGTTGTTACATAATTAAAATCAGTATGCAGATGTGAAAAATAAGGCCTTGCTTCTGAAATTCAGAAGATCTGAATGAACTGAAATTTAAACTAGAGTAAGTCTTGAGGAAAAAAATTGCAAATTCTTCCATTTGAGTGAGGAAAGTGGATTTTCCCTTCCTGCTCCACAGTATTAGGCTATTTTTGCTGCATTCCCTCACCCCACAAAAAAAAGTCACTTTGGAAGAGATCCACCCTGAGCATTTGAGCCTGAAGGATGAAGAATATAAAGCATGTGAAAACCAGGGATGCCTGTACATGAGCACAGAGGCTGCTCTGACATGCTGTAATTACAGCACGTCAGAGCAGACTCGATTAATTGAGTCTGCTGGAGCGTGGCAATTACTGTGCTCCAGCAGCCTCCTGCATGTTGTGTATAAGTATCCCCATGCTTCAAAATGGCAGTGGGGGCACTTGAACTAAAGTTCATCAAACGATCTTTAGATCAAGCACCCCCCACCATCATTTTGAAGCATGGGGATGCTGATGCACAAGACGCTGCGGTGTTTTAATTAGAGTGCTCCTGGGTAAAAGTGCCCAAGGATTTAAAATGGAGCTGTTGTGGGCTCTTGCCTGCAGGCACTGCCAGCTCTCCAGGACTGTGGCCTTTCAGGAGTTAGCTGTCATCCCTACTCATTTCCAGAGAATCATCTCATCTCTCCCTCCTCACCCTCAATCAGTTTACCAAGTCACCCAGCATGTCAGCCACCCACATTCACTGAGTGACCTGCCCTCATTCATAGTTGACCAGGTGTCCACCCACAGTAACACAGAATGGTGCTGGGAGCAGAAGCCCACAGATTCAGAAAGGAGCAGCTTGACCAGTGGTTATAGGGTGAGAGGTGCAGAGCTTGTTGTTGGCTAAAGAGGATCTGGGCATGGAGTGAATCTAAGCTTGGCAGTCTAGAGACCCAAGGAGAAAGTGCGCTCTGCATGGCTGGAGTGGTAGGGAGGGAGGCTGGAGGCTGAAAGAGGAGCTGTTGCTTGTCCGGTCTGCCTGCATCAGAGTAGAGGTAGGAATCCATTCCAGCAGGTAGCAGAGGCAGCAGGGCTGTACATCTAAATAGTTTGACCCAGCAGCATCGGAAGGTGGAGGGACCTGCAGGGGCGGGAGAGCGTACCTAGTCCTTCAGTTCAGTGGAGACCCAGCTCTGTTTTTCAGCTGACTGGCAGGAGCCCTCACTTACTGCTGGGGTCATTTACTGTGTGTTTAATTTGCCACCATTTTACTTAAGATTTTGGAGCTACAGCAGAAACTGAAGGAGTCTCAGCACCAGCTCTGCCTCGCGGAAACCCACGTGTTGGGAAGGAAGCAGCTGGAGGAGGAAGTGAAAGAGGCCAGAGAAGGTGAAGCTCAGCTGCAGCGCCAGCTCCAGGAAGAGCAGTGGAAAAGGTAACAGGCCCCAGAACATGTCTTGCTGGCAGTGGCCAGGCCCTTGATGCTCCAGTGCAATGCCAACACCCTAGCACGTCCAGCCACGCTGTCCTGCCCCGCACAGGAGGAGGGCTGCCTTACTGCTGAAGTGTTAGCAAGTGTCAGCTTGGAGGTCCCCTTGCCCTCTAGTACCAAAGGAATCTGGATTATCATCGTAGTGTGGTGGCGGGTGCTATAGAAATATTTGCGGGGACTTCACTGTGTGGAGAGCACAGGTAAGAGAATGAGTGCATCATGGTCAACCCCCATGTTTCTGCAGGCGAGCAAAGGAGCTCGGAGCTGTGCTCCCGGGCCCTGCTGAGTGTCACATGGTATATTTGCAAAGCACTCCAGACAGCTCCCCAGGGCAGTCCCAAGCAGCAAAGACTTCCCAGAATATCCAGTCTGCCACCACCCAGCTTGGAGAATCTTCCTACCCAGGAGACTGGGTGCCTTTTAACTTCAGTGACCCCTGGTTATCTCAGACACCTTGGCACTTAGCAACATCCAGCAGGGATGTCAGATCCTCCAGTAAGAAATCCTGCACCTTGCCTCACGGGTATAGATCACATCAGGAAGGGCACATGAAGCAGTCCCATCCATGCTAGCAAATAGCCACCAAGTGAAAGTGGACAAGGGTTATACTCCAGCTGCTCCTGAATATAGAGCAATGCAGCAGGGCCCAGGCCTGTCCAGGATCTCAGAGACATGCATGTTGTTTGGAAACAACAAAATCCAAAGGGTATCTCAAACAGCTCTTAATACTCTGTGATAAGAAGGTGCCTGGCTGACCTCACAGACACTGAGCACTGAGGCTTTGGGGCTGGAGTTAGTGTCCCGTGTGCTTGCAGCTTGCTTAGCGACAGTGACAAAGATGTAAAGTGAAGATGTTCCCCTCTCTGAGTGACCGACTCCTTCAGAACGGCTTGTTGGAAGAGGTTTGATGTGCTCCCATTGGGTGTAGTGTTGTTAGAGGACGAAAGGGTGGATAGAATTGTTCGTGTGAGAAAAGAGAGCTACCGAGATGACCTGGTAGGACACAACTCAGCAAAACACCTTCCTGGTCACTGCTAGAATTTGGTCATATTAGGATCTTACGATGTGTTGTGGCTGTGATATACTGTAGCATCAGAAAGCCCCCATGAAGATCAGGGTCCAGTCGTACGAGGTGCTGTGCAAACCCAGAATACAAATCAATCTTTGTCAAAAAAACCCACAACCGTGGCAGGAAGCAGGTGGTAGGAGAAACAGAGGCACAGAGTGGGGAGAGCTTTGCCCGAAGTCGCATACGATGCCAGAGGCACAGATTAGATCGACAAGGTCAGTCTGATCCTAAAGAACCTGATGGTTTTGGAGGTGTTTCCTGTACATCTAGTGGAGAATGTGGCTAGAATGGCTAATATCCCTAGAGTGGGAGGGATCTTTTGAAATGTGCCCACTACAGGTGGGTGTGCTGCTACTGCTGGTGCTTCAAGGTGAAGATGGACTAAAGTGGCGTTTTAATTTCCTCCATCCACAAACTCTCCAAGTCCATGGATAGCATAATGTACAGGAGGGAAAACCCAAAAATTTGGGCCAGAACCCCAACCATGTCATTGCAGGTTTTGGCACTTCTGTAATTTGTGATCCTGTTACAAGTGCAATATGTTAGGTGGCCACACAGCTACTGAGTCTGCACAGTAGGCTGTGCTCTGGCCAGGCAGGCACGTGGCTCCAGGCGTGTGTACCTGAGCATAAGCCCGTAGGTGGGAGAATCCTCCCATGTCTCTCACCCAGGAATCAGGACACCCAGGTTCTAGGCCCCTCTCTCCCAGGGGGAGTTGAACCATCTCTCTCTTGCACTTCTTTCAGAGCTGAGACCCTGCAACTTGCATGCGATAATCTGTGGGTAAAATGGAGGGAAGGCAGTGTGGGGGGATGTTTCTCCCCCTTCAGGAATAGGGGTCCAGGCAAGAAGCCAGGGCTCCCCCTTTCCAGAGCAGCAATGGTCTCATTGAGCCACACACTCTACCTTGTTACCCTCCTCCTGGCCCTGTATATCTTCCCGTCTTGGCAGCCCAGGGCCCCGGCACCAGGGGGAGGGCTGGAGAGGGGCCAGGATAATACCTGTGGACCTGTGGTCTGAGCATTCTTGGGAAGTCAGAGACAGATCGGTCCAAACCCCATGGGGGTGAAAGGGGTCTAAGACATGGGCCTCCTGTTTCCTAGGCAAGTGCTCTTATCAGTCAGCTGTGGGGCTAAAATGCAAACGGGCCCTCCTTTTCCAGTCTCCAACAACACTGGTTTTTGCTTAGCCAGCCACATACAGGTGCACAGAGCAGTGGCTGTATCCCACCCCCCAGCCACAGGGCAGCCTACAGAGCACAGTGTTTGTGTGTCTAGACTACCACGGAATACGATCGCCAACTGCGTCTAAGTGCCAAACCCTGCACCTGCACGCCTGGGAAGTGCCCTGTGGGGTGCACAAAGGGAAATAAGACGCTGCCTTTGTAGTTTATACGTTTGGTCATTATCCGTTCGTTTTCATTCTGATTCGGTTTCAGTGACCACAGACCTTTTGAGAAGCTTAGCTTATGCGATCAGCCTTGCATGCCCTCAGACTTTCCCTGCTTCAGCAGAGGTGAAATGTTCCCCTGTGTAGCCACAGTTCAGCTAGCCTAAAGGTGGTTCCCCCAAATAAGGGTTATGTCTGGGTGCAAAGCCAGCAGTGAAGTAACTGTCAATAAAAAGGCACATCCCTTCCTCACCCACATAAACTGATATTGAAATAGGATGTGGAGTAGGCTTGAGTAACTTAACTCCTCTTACCTTGAGCCCCATGCAGTGCTGCTGTTGCTCATTGTCCTGACATGCTTACAGGAAGCTCCTGGATCAGCATGCGGAGGAGCTGCAGCAGCAGCTCCGGCACTCGCATGAGACGGAAACATCACTGGCCAAGACTCGTGCTGAGCTTCAGGGCAGGTTTCAACAGCAGGAGGTGCAGCTGCGGGTGCTGGAGGATGAGAAGAAAACAGCGCTCACCGAGGTAAGGTGCAAGTCACAGCACTGGAGCTGTGCTCAGGAAGGGGCGAGTTATTGTCACAGATGGCTTATTATAGGTACAAGTCCAGCAACGAGTGGGGCATGGCAGTAGAGCAGGAGAAGGAAACTTGTTCTTTAATGAGCATGGTGCTTTTTACATGGGCATCTGAGCAGGAGGTAATGACTACAGAGATGCATCACCCCCCTCTTTCCTCTCCAGGGATACTTCCCAGGTCCCACCTCACCTCACTACAAGGAGGCAGACACCTCTGTGGTCTTAGGAAGGGCAGTTTCCCTGGAAAGGAGATGACAGCAAAGATGGGCTGCTATTATTCCATGGGCTGATTACTGCTTGCTCCATCTTGAGGGCAAAAGTTAGGTGTTACTGTAGAGCAGCTTTTGAGGGCAGAGCCCCTTTCTGTTCAGAAGCAGACTGAAAGGGCATTTTCATTTCTTACAATTTAACAAACAATTTTAAAAATATATCTGCTTTTCAGCTTCTCCTTTGTCAAAAAAGCAGTAAGAAGCTTTCAGAGCAGCTGTCAGTGCTGCAGCAAGAGAAAGAAACTCTCCATGAGGAATATGATCGTCTCTTGAAGCAGCTAGATTTGTACGTCAGGTAACTACCAAAGCAGTAGGGACCACTGAGAAACACAGTTGCACAGCAGCTGCTCTTTACACCCTGGTGGTGATACTGGAAAGGATTACTCTGTAACCTTCAGAGTGTCTCATGTAAAATGCTTTTAGCATTGAAAGACCTGCTTCAGCATGACACCTCCCAGCAGAATTGCTTGTATCAAATATCACGCTTCTGCTATCACTTCATTTTGAGTTTTTCTGTCCAGGAGGTGAAGATGGTAAAGAAAGCAGCTGTCCACTCAGGGAACGGAATGTCCTCTCAGCCCAGGACACCAGTCCAGGCTTTTCATTTTTTTCTCTCCTCATGGGAAAAAGTTTATTTCACTTCTTTGCTTTTGCCTGGCTGTTCTGTGGAGAAAGGACCAAATGGGGCTGTTTTAAGAACTGCTGTTTAGAAAGGCCAGTGCCCTGCCTCGTATCCTAGTTTCTGATTGACAAAAGTCAGAGCTTTTTATGTTTAACACCAGATGGGCAGGACTGGCCATGAGATGCACGCTGCAGAACCTCATTACTCTTCTTTGGACTTTGGATTGGTGGGAAATGGCAGTTTGGAAAGTTTGTGGGCTCCTCTCCCACCAGTATTAAAACCTACCTCAGGGTACTGGCACCTATCTGAGCTAACAGACCTCAGAGGGCTTGTTTTTCTTCTGGATATCTATAGTCTGATGCTGCTAAAAGAATTGTTGAGGTTTGAGCCATTTTGGGGAAATTGTTGCTTTTGGCCTTCTTGGAAAACACTATACTTGAAAAATATCAGTATCAATGTATTCAGATGGTCACGCAACACTTGGTTGGGCTGGCAAGCATCACCTCCTCCCCCTTACCCCCCAACACACAAGACTGGCTGACAACAGCACTGTATTCTCGTTAACTAATGTTCGTCTCCCTTCACCCCTACGTGCCTATGATCTCCATATGTGCTATGTGATGATCTGAACAAACACTAGGCTCCAAACATTGTGTTCGTGAAATGCGGAGATCTGCTGAGCACCGTCACAGGCTGATATTCGCATCTTCACCTTCCCAGGAAGCACAATGAGAGGCAGCTCCGTCACAAGGCCAAGCTCCAGAGAGCCAAGGAGACTTTTGTTCATGAGGTGAAACAAAGAGATGTGAAGATCAAACAGCTTGAAGGTGACATTTTGCTTTCAAGGAGCCAAACAGGAAAGGTGAGAGAGGGCTTTCCACACAGAGCGGGATCCTGGGCGAGTGCCCTTCCTAAAGGGGAGGCTGTCCCGAAGCAGTCGGGGTCATGCATGCTGCAGGAGCTTGCCTTGGCACAACTGCTTGGAGAGGCGTTAGGGCTCCTGGCGATGCACACTGCTCTCACAGGGAGTCCTAGGATCTTGAAGACAGCACGGGGAGCTAAGTTGTATGTAAATACACAGCAGAGCCTGTTGTGTATAAGTAACTTTTAATAACCAGCTTCTCCTGTCAGAGAGGTGAAAGCTCCAGTCCTCTGTGGGGCAAATGGTTTCAAACACAAGTGAATTGTCTAAAGCAGGAGCAGGGGTGAGTGGTTTTTCAGGAGCTTTCCTTGTGCTCGCTGCTCCCCTGCCATGCAGTGGGTTTGTCTTAGCACTCCTGGGCCGGGCAGCACGCTCATGCGGTAGAGAAGTTTAACTGATAAATTATCCAACACTTAGAGTCATGTTTATTTCTGGCATCACTGTCCCTGCTGGGAACACTACAGTTCCACCAGGAATGGATTTGGCCCATAGTGTTAATGTATCTATTTTGTATCTTAGGTTGTTATTTTAAGTAAATGAGATCCATTAATTTCAAAAACCCAAAAGTCCACATACGTAGAGAGTTTTTTCTTTATTTGGGGTCTTCCTTAACTGCCGGTGCCCAGGTACAGGAAAAGTTCTGGAATTAATGTCCTGGCCTATTGAGATTGAGGCTTTCTGCATTCATTTGCCCTGTTCTGCATGCACACAGGATCCCTGGGGAAAGGGTCCTTATGGGGCGATGCTTGATGCTACCTTACATCCAGTTTTGGTGGTCACAAGTGCTTTTGTCACCTGTCAAACTTAGATATTGGACAGGAAAGGAAATTTTTTGCCATAGGAAGGAAATCCTCTGCCAAAGGAAAGTCCAGTCCTGCCATGACAGCCAACCACAACATCCAATCTCTCATAAACTGATCAAGCTGCATCTTAAAAAGTTACTGTTTCTCAACCCTTAAATAGCATTGTCAGCATGTGACAAAAAGGCCTTTCTGGGAAGTGTGACATCAAATACAATATATATGAAGTAGCACTGAGCATCTTTGATGCTTACACCTCCTCTGTAAAGTGCTTTGAGACTAAGAGATGAAAAGCTGCAGGTAGGAGTTAGGTACTGTTGCTGTTGTTATTACCTTATGTTTCCTTACACACAGGAACATGCATTGATCAAGCAGGTCACCACAGAGAATGACCATTTGCTCCAGGAAAACAGAAAACTCTTACAGCAGCTTAATGAGCAGGAAGAAGTTGGCCGGAACAACAAGCGGATAATTTCCACAATTCAGAGCAGGTGCCGTTAATTATCTCACTTTGGAGAAAGAGCAGTTTTAGCTTAGCAACCTAGACCAGAGTTCAAACCAGGAGGGCTGAAGTTTGTCTCATGGGTCTGTGTTCTACCATGCTATTGCCCATGTAACTAATGAAACCCTTGTTCTGTGTGTGGAGTAAACCAGGAGTAACACAACAATAGCTCGGGCTAACTAACGGATGTTTCATAGTTTCTAGGGCCGGAAGGGACCTGAGTTAGATCATCTAGTCCGACCCCCTGCCACGGCAGGAAAGAGTACTGGGGTCAAATGACCCCAGCAAGGTGGTTCATCTAACCTCCTGGAGTCAAAGCCACTTCACCTGGAATGGGCTTGGCCCCGGTGAGGCGTGGAACCTGCAGCACGTGTCTTGTGGGGGCAATAGGCTCAGAGAATTTACCCGAGTCCTTTCTGTGTAGAGAGGCTGAGAGCAAATGCCCCTCTGAAAACATCAAGCTGTTAGAAGCAAAGGTTCACGTGCGGGAAATAAACTGCTCTGTGTGTGTGTGTGTGTGTGTGTGACCTTCGCAGAGTGCAGTTCCTGGACAAAGAAAACAAGCGACTGCAAGAAAGCACCATACAGCTGTCCAACCAGGTTGGGGGTCTGGAGCGGGCTCTGAGGAACATTCAGACTCATGGCGTAGAGGTAAGATGGATGCGCTGCCTTTTGGTACCTTCTCCCCCATGTAGCTGCATCAGAGCAATTCCGCCATCAGTCTCCTACCAATATACCTCAGCTTTAAGCTGGAAGGAACTTCACTGGAGTCCTGAGTGACTTTTTTACTACGATTTTCCAGAGCAAGCAGTACCCCTAATTGTGTCCGGTCTTCAAGAGGAGTTACCGTGTGCTGAGATCTTTACAAAACAAGGCTCACTGCCTTTGGATTTCCTGCTCAAGCGGCTATAGATAATGTGTATTATTAATTGTCTCCATCCCATGGGGATTGGACTGAGGCCCATCAGCTCATTTCATGAAGAACAGGACACCAAATGCATGGTGGGTGGCAGGGATCTTGTTGCTTGAGTAGCTGAATTGGAGCCAGCAGCCTGGACGTGAAAGGCTGTCTCATTCCTGGGATGCTGAGGCAGGCCATCCCCCCATCCGCTGGGTTATTAGGCCATTTTTTGCAGTGACAAAGGTTTTGGTTTTTACCTTTGATCTTTTTTTTGTTTTTCAGTTGTTAAAAATATCTGAATGATGGGGAAGGTCTGGGACCAAGAAAACTTTATAAAAAGTGGGTAATTTTAGATACCTTCACAAGTGAGCCAAAAATATCAAACAGGGGTGCCCAGGGACATCTAAAATGAAGAGTGTATTTGACAAAAAAACAATTGTGGATTGATGCAATGTCTGGAATAGTTTGGGCTGAAAAAACCCAGAACATTTGAGATGTTTCATTTCAAGAATGACAAAACACTTCAACGTTTTGCTTCAAAATGATCTGTAGAGACCAAATTTAACGCTGTTTTGGATTAACTGAAACAAAAGATTGTTTTGGATCAAACAAAATGTTTTGTTTTAGCCAAAATGGAGCCTTCTTCAGACACTTGTTTCATCAGAACTCTTGTTTAGGGTCAACCTGAAATGACGTCTCCATTTTTTCCACGTGACTTCAGAACTGAGTAATCAGCCATCGCCATAGCTTCGGAGCCTCAATTCATAGCCAGGCACTGAACAACAGGCCCCGGTTTGCCAGGGTACAGGCACCTCTCAGCGTTCAGAACCTTTGACAGTCAAGCCACTTATTTAAAACTGGGCTTTTTGATTTGTAAATTGGTGGAACTTGAATGTCCAACACCCATCTGCTCCTTTGGAAAACCTTGTCTAAGTGTCTAAACGTACTTAACTTTAGGGAAACGAATGTGGAAGTGATAGCCACAGTGTGGGATGGCTAGTGATTAGGGGGAGCAATGGTGCGGTGCTCCCATCCAGAAAGCAGTGGCTGAACCCGCTCTCAGTCTACACATTCTCCCAAGGGCACCGAGAGCCATCTAGACTGCCACTTTTTAGGGCTTCCAGTTTGAAATAGTTCTCTAACCGGAGCAGTGCTAGTTGATGGCACTATTTCCATCAATGTCACTTGCTCATGGGGCTCTTGTTCTGGGTTTTCTGGTCCTTTAGAAACTAGCCATTCCCTTTCATTCACAAACACCCTGTCTCTTTTCTTGGAATTTTCTCCCGTGCATCTGAGATCCCAAGTTTCCTGTCTCTAAATACTGCGTGAAAATATCCCTTTCCTCTGGTTTGTTTGCAACGTGTTTATTGCCTTGAGCATGCCCTCCCCACCTTTTATCAGTTGATTATTCTTCTGCTTCTTTTCCTAGGACTTGAGGAGCATTGGCTTCTCTGAATGCCAGCTACTAAGTAAAATGTTGCCACTTCCAAACACAAGGTACCGTGAGTAAAAAGGCACCAAGTCTGCTTACTAACAGCAGGTCCTGTCAGCATTGGGGAATAGGGAAGCCATGGATTCCTGCTTTCAAAACACAAGTTTCACCCTTTATTTTATTCCCTCGTGTCTTTTGGTCGTACAGTAGGATGGAGGGGTGGAGCTAACCAGTGTCTACTACCTGCTGCCTCCTTTAGTTTGCGAGTCCTGTGGGGCTTTCTGTGACTGTGCACGGCCCCGAACTCGATGGTGCTTGATCTTTGACTGGGCCTGTAAGCGCTGCGGCAGCACAACTGAGCACTAGCAGTTATTGCTGCAGCGAGGGAGTGCTGGGTGCACGACCGACCTCGCAATTAGTCTAGGAACTTGCCAACAGAAGGGGGCAGTTAATGGGTCTGAATGGTCATTAGACTCCTTGGGAGGAAGGCAGCTGAATGCCCTTGAGGATCTGGGGTTTAGCCTGTCTCTATGTTAGACCTTTACCCGCTTCCGGGGGTAGCAACACTAAAAGACTGTGTGGCACTGGGGTATTGCAGTGGTGGGCCCACGTGAGGACACAGCTAGAGATGCTGTTTGCAAAGTGAACTAGGGGTGGAAATTCTTTTGCAGCTTCTCAGCAGCGGGGCCGCCGGACTCGCTCAGCGTGCTGAGAGCCATTCAAGAAACCAAGTCCAACGAAGGTGCTGAAAGCCAAAAGTCCTCGTCTTCCTTATCGCCATCTCAACCTTCTGAGATCGGCTACCTGAACGTGGTGTCCCCTGGAGACACCGCCAGCCTCCAGACGCAGGAAGAGAGTCCAAGTTTCTGCTGTGATGATGTCTAAGGGCCTCTGGCAAGCAGCTGAGCTCTTTGTGGACTGCAGGAGCTGGCCTCCCTTGCCACTGGGCACAAGGAGGTGAGAGGGGCATTTGCCAAATAACGTATTACATGGATTTTGAGACACCTCTCAACTAAATTATTCGGTGACTATTTTTCAGCTGTTTGCCCAGCTCAACATCTTGTCCCAAATCTGTCAGATTTTTTTTTAAACTCATAAAGTAATTCATTAAAATGTTATTTTTAAAAATGTTTTTTCTCCGTTTAACGCTCATTCTCTGCGAGGTCCAGAGAGATTCTACGGGGTTTTCTGAAGCAGAAGTGAGCCACGGCTCCAGGCCCAAGTGTCTGTTTCCTTCCACGCTGGGGCCAGATCCACGCAGGTATTAAGCACCGGAGCGCAGAACCGCGTGACTCCAGGCAGGCAGCACGGATCATCCGCCTCCTCGCTGCCAGCCTCTGGTGTGGCAGTGGCAGCCGCGCCGGGCGCCCTCTCTGCTGCTCCGGCGGTCCAGCAGCCCTGGGCCAGGGGCAGGGACAGAGAGCAGCTGCCGGCGGCTCGGGGACGAGCCCGGCTGACCGAGTGGCTGCTCGCGCAGGCAGGGACCGGCTCGCGGAGCTGCAGCTCCAGGCCCGCTCTTCCTGCCTGCCCGGCAGCCTGGCTGGAGTAGCGGTGGGCAAGCGTCCCTGAGCCCGGCAGCCCGCGACCCTGCTCGGGCAGCGGCTCCTGCGGGGCCAGGCTAGGCTGCGCCCGCCCGGCTCAGCCTCCTGGGCTGCGCAGCTCAGCACCGCCGTCTCCTGGCGCGGGCCTTTCTGGCAGGTCCCGAACCCTTCCCTACCCCAGCTGCGGCTCTGCTTGCTGCTCCCCGTCCGATCTGTTGGTCGCTCCCGGCCCGACCTACTGCTCCGCCTTCCGCTCCCGCCCCTTGCAGCCCGTCCGCTCTCATAGCACGTGGCCCTGGCCCCGCCCATGGCGGCAGCAGCTCCCGCGCAAGCTCCGTAGGGTTGGGGACTTCCGGGCGGAAGTTGCCGCCGCGTTTCCGGTTCCGGGGGCGTCATGTCGGTGCTGGCCTCCAACCCCAACAACCCGGTCGTTTTCTTCGATGTCACCATCGGCGGGCAGGTACGGCGGGCGGGGAGATGGGGCGGGCGGTGCTGAAGCCTCGGCCCGCAGGAGGTGGGGGGGAGGCGCTGCGGGCCTCATCCCGCCTCGCCCCGCAGGAGGTGGGCCGCATGAAGATCGAGCTGTTCGCCGACGTGGTGCCCAAGACGGCCGAGAACTTCAGGTACGGGGGGCGGGTCCGGGACCGCCGCGTCCGGCCAGGGGCGCCGACCCCGCGCGCTCGGGCGCACGCGACTCGTTCCCGTCTTTCCCTGCAGTCGCCCGGGCGCCGCCCGGTCGCGAAACCGCGGGGGCGCTTGGGGGAGACGTCGCCGCGGAGACGAGCGTCCTGCTCTTACGGCGGGGCGGACGGGTGCGGCCAGGCCGCGGTGCCGTGGCCGCCTCGTGACGAGCGGGGTCGAGCTGCGCCGTAGAGCCCGTTTGCCGACACGGGTCTCAGACCCGGAGATGGCGCCAGGGCTGACCGTGCAGGGGGGGTCCAGCTGCGCCCCGCGGGGCAGGAGGCTCCCGCCGCGGGAGCAGGCGCACGGCTGCAGTCCGAGGCCTGTGAGACCAGAGTGCGGCACCAGGGGACGTGCCTCTTGCCTGGAGCTGGCTCCACGTAACCTCTTGCGTTCCTCCTGTTCCGAGGTTTGACGCTGCTTTGGTCTGGACGGGAGATCCCCGTCCCCCCCCGGCGCCGTGCCCAGGGAGCCCTCGGAGGAGTTGTGTTGCTCCTCCGTCAGCGCTCCGCACTTACCCGAGCGATCCCCAGCCTGGCGCCGTGCGGAGGGACTCGGTGAAGAGCCTGACGCCGGTGTGGGAACAGCCCCAGCAGACTGGCCTTACTGCTGCACCTCCTTCAGCACCTCCCAGGCAGCTGACTCCTCCTCACCTGCTTGCGGCAGGCAACCCCCTGAGCGAACAAAGCAAAGCTCGGTCCTGTGGCTGTGATGCCAGATTAGCCAGGCTCGCTCGGTCCAGGGCCTCCAGCCCAGGCAGCTTTCCACAGTGATCAGAAACGTGCGCTTGGCCACCCTCGGGGTGGCTGGCCACGTTTCTTAGGGTCATTCCGAACCTCTGTGGCCCAGTTCCAAATGTGTCTCGGAGGAGCGGCAGCTTAATGACCTGGTCTCCTGTTGGCCTGTCTCTGATGAGAAGGTGCCTGCCACTCCTTTATCGATGGGACGTCCCAGCCCCCCGAGAGTCCCCTTTCCACTATGGATCTCCAGGGAGTGATGCCCCAACCCACATTTTTTGGCTGTTTCCATTCTCAGTATCAAACGTGATCCAGCCTGATGCCCAGAAACAGCCCTTTGGGGTGGAAAGTTAGTAGTTGTTGCTGCCTCCTGTGCCTGCTGTTAGCAGTGTCATTTGCTCCTCAGAAGGGAAGTGCCCTCTACCCCTCTTCAGTAAAGTAGTCAGAGCAGCAGTGATTTGGTTTGGATTCAGATACCTCTTTCAGGTGACTCATGTGCTGCTCTCTCTTTTTTTTCCCTCTTTCCAGGCAGTTTTGCACAGGTGAATTCAGGTATGTGGGGTCAATGCACCACTCCTTTTAAACAGCATACTGAGGTGTTTAATGACCAGAAAGTAGAGCAATCTGATGGTCTTTGTTCCCATCTTCTTGCTTTCTGAATGACTGTGTTGCTGCAAGGTGCTATATAGCCTTCCCAGGCACCGGGGGGGGACCTGTCAGTACGGCACATGGGATTCTGGGGTCCTAAAATGACTGGAAGTCTTTATGCTGTGATGAGCAGTATCCTGCAGTGGTATTTCCTTGTCTTGCTGTAGGAAAGATGGTGTCCCTATAGGTTACAAGGGGAGCACTTTCCACCGGTAAGTCAATTTCCTCTTGTTCAAAACAGCACGGTGACCTAGACACAGCCTGATGCCCAGTTCTGAAAGCAGTCCCTAAAGTAGGAGGCATCCTATAGTCATCGAGGGATAGGAGGCCTGAATAGTGTTTTCTTTCTAAAGTCTCTGCCCTGCATCTACAGTTTTGGCGACTCTTTGCCTCTGTAGTCAGTGTGGGCCACTCTCTGTTGTACTTGCCAGATAAAAAGAATATTCTTGGTGCTTATCACCCAATGCACAGGCAGCACTGTCCAGCCTTTGTCCAAAGTAAAAGGTCATCCCACGTCGAGTCCATCACCTAGTCACTAGGTGCGTTTTATTGTGGTGTGGGCTGTTTCTCTGTCGTTTCGGACCTACTAAACTTTGTGAGACTGTTTCACAGAGATGCAGTCGTTAACTTTGTTCTTAATTACTTTTCAGGGTGATAAAGGATTTCATGATCCAGGGAGGCGACTTTGTAAATGTAGGTATTACAAGTACGTTCATTTCCTTTCCTGGTGGTTCTTTCCATGGGGCTGTATTTAACTGTTTAACTTTTTTTTTTGGAACGTGTTGCTTAGTGAGCAAAGATATGTAAATGAAAGATGAGGAAAGAGCAAAAGGGCATTGACAGGGAAAGGAGGTGGCTGGAGCCCCAAAGCCCTTTCAGCAAAGGGGGAGGAATACCTGGTCAGACCCATGGAATAGACTGTGGCGATGCCAAAGCCCCCCACGCCCCCACTCTGCAGCTTCAACCTCTGACAGGCTCCTCCCTCGCTTGCCATCACTCATTCTTCTAACCCGAGAGCCATCCTTGCCTTTCCTACTTGCCTTCTGTTTTCTGTGGAACGTGCAGCCTGAACTCTCATCCGTAGCTTCATCTGGCGGGTCTTGGAGGTCTAGAATCTACCTGCTTCCCTCACACCATGTCTGTTCTTGTCCTGTGGTTTCACCTGGCCTGGGGGTCGGTCTGTGACTAACTAACATGAGGGAGGGGGATGAGGATCAAATGAAGAATTAGGGTGGAATGCTGACTTCTGGTTTCCAGGCTCAACAATGTTCAGATGTTTTCATTTCTAGTGTTCTTTTTAACACTGTTTTTTTTCTTAATGAAAATACAGCCTCAACCTTAGTTCTGGTTAACAAAGTGCTTTTCTGTTGGAAGTATTTTAAAAACATGCTTTTTCTGAGGTGGGATTGATAATTACCTCCCTTCTCACACAGGGAGATGGCACTGGGGTGGCTAGTATATACCGAGGTCCCTTTGCAGATGAAAACTTCAAACTCAAACACTCTGCTCCTGGACTCTTGTCTATGGTAAGTATAAGACGGCCAAGGTAGTAAGACTAGAAAGGTTCCCACCCACCATCTTTGAGATTTACCAGTTATTTCCTGGCTTTCACCTCCATGGTTTGTTTTGTAGAAACATCACCAGCAGCCTAAAATTGCATAAGTGGCAATATAGAGACTGACGTGCTGTCCCAGTGGACTGTTTAGTGGAGTATCTAGTTACTAATCCGGCCCTGCGGAGGTAGATGTTAATTCCTATGATAAACATTTCTAGTGCAGGTCAGCTGGAATGATAGCACTCTTGTTTGAAGTACCCTGGCTTCTGCAGGCTCGAGATGTTCAGTTTACTAACATGTGCATGTGTGTTTGCGTTTTAAATTAGGCAAACAGTGGTCCAAGTACAAATGGGTGTCAGTTCTTCATCACATGCTCCAAATGTGACTGGCTAGATGGGAAACATGTTGTGTTTGGTGAGTAGTCTCTCATTAATGACATTTCAGTAGGGTAGAAATCGCCTTCAGCTCATTTCTGCTTTGAAACCAGTAATAAATCAGCCAGGTAATGGAGGCTTGGTAGAGGAAGAGAAGGTGGGAGCTGGGGAGCTATGTGTATTGCATCCTCACAGTAAGGCCTCGCTCCTTATTAGGTCCTGTAGGTGCAACATAAACATCAAAATTGGTAACTTTTGCACATAACCAAACACAGTGCCCCTGCTGGAGACGTATTCTGTGCTATTTCTCATAGTCAGTGGGAGAGGGGTATGAGTTAAGGTCCCTACATCCATGCACGCCCCACCCTCTGGGAAAGATGAACACTGCCACTCTAAGAGACGGACCTTAACTCCATATCTGAAACGGTTGAAGCTGAGTTTATGGGCTCAGTGATCCATAACACATCCCAAGGTCCCCAGTTTAGTAAGTGGTGTAAGTACATTTGTGGGGCAAAAATAATGCTTGGAGAGAGAACCGTGTCCAGACACAATATAATCTCAAGGGTTTGAGAAATTGGAGAAATGTTTCATTGTTCATGACAGGTTGGGGTTACAGAAAAAGTGGAAAAGTACTTCAAAATTGTTCTTTCCCTTGCAGGTAAAATCATCGATGGGCTCCTGGTTATGAGAAAAATTGAAGTAAGTTTAATGTGCATTCCTCTGAATGCCCTGCCAAGTCATTGCTTCAGAAGGCTTCACATCCCCTCCCATCACTTGTGTATGAAAGTGCTTAACGGTAGTGATGAGGAATTCCTTGCAGCCCTGCCACGGTTTAATCCATCTCGCAGAGTTGCTTCCGAAATGCACACGTGGCTTTATGCCAGCAGGAAACATGTTCTGATGGATTTGCTGCAGTGCCTTGAGTTCTTTCTGGAAGCTTGATCGACAGGTTGCTCTGTCAATCGTCTCAGAGCAGGCGTATGAGAGAGAATACGTTGACATCTCACAGAAGCAACATTCAGGGGCTGACAGATTAGTAGAGGTTGTCCATTGAAAGATAATCAGTGCTTTTAATAATGAAAACACAATGTTTCCAAAGGACTTCCCAGTCCTGCAGATACATGAGCCTCTGCTGAATTGTGGCTGCATGTTTCAAATGCCTAGTTGACAGACATGTGAGTTTACGTGAAGAGATGGGTGAAGAACCCGGCAGCATTGTGCTCTCCCTCCGGGTGCCTGAGTGCAGACTGGGGGGCCCACTGCTGAGCCACAGCGGAGCTTGTCTCATGGGACTGTTGTAAGCAGTCAGCAGAGAATGCAGTTATGGGAGAGGAAGTACAGAACTGACAGCAGCTCCACTTAAAGCCTTGCGCTTGTCTTCATTGTAGGACATTATTCCTTTCTCACTGGCTCTTTTAAGAAAACCATTTTGACAGGTGAAGTGCAATTATAACCCTGGTGGGATAAGTAGGATGAGATTCCCCTTGCAGTGTTTATCATCAGCAGTGCCTTCCAAAGCATCAGTTGAAGGATTACTGCACATCTCTCTTGTGGGACAGTAATGGGCAGATGAGAGGAAGGAAAGACAGGCTGTCAAAGAGCAATGCTCAAAGTGCAGAGCAATGGGTTCTGCTCTCTGACTCCTGGACCTGCCCCTTGTGCCCCACTTTTCCCCCCAACCCCAGTCTGTCACTCCCCCTGCAATACAAACATGGGATATTTTTTCACTGTTTGCTTTTATTATTAATATTGTTACAAGTCTAGAGTCAGAAATCTCAAGTGGTGTGAAACATAGTGATTATCCCACATTTCTTTTCTGCACCTTGCTTGGTTCACTGCCTCCTGTTCAGGGTCTTCCCTGTGCATCTCAGCTCTGCATATCAGAGAGTCAGCTGGGCTCGCAGAAGGCTTCAAAGCCATTCTCATAATGAAAGAGCAGCAGTCAGGAGGCATCCATAGTCCACATGCAGGTTGCCATGTTCCTGAGGCTCAGTTGGCATGGCTGTCTCTTAACCCTCAAAGCAGCTGGTGACTTTTGCTAACTTGTTGGGTATTTATATATTGTAACTGTGAATTTCTGTTTTCCCACCCCCAGAACGTACCAACTGGTCCAAATAACAAACCCAAACTGCCTGTAGTGATCTCGCAGTGTGGTGAAATGTAGAGCGGTGAAAGCAGAAGTCTTGGTAGGTCTGTTGTTCTTCATCAGCTTGTCTGAAGAAGTCTTCTGAGAGGAGACAGTGATGGAAAACCATCTGTTACTGTCTTGGATTCTTTCATGTGGGCATTAGTGATTTGAGGTTCTGCCAAGTTTCAGAAGAGCAAAATGTTTCATGCTGCATAGAAGAGGCAAGTAAACCTAGAAGCCTGAGAAGCAATTGTTGCACTTCCTAATTCAGGGCAGGTTTGAGACTCGCTGCCTGAGCTGAGTGCCATGGAGCTGAAACACTTGAAAGGAGGGCGGTGAAGCCCACTGAAGGGCCCGGCTATTGCCACATTACATCACCTGTTCTTAATGCAGCCAGTATCATTGTCCTAACCTACCATTAGGTCGGATTAGATACCATTGTGATCCAGTCTGCCTTGGGTATAGTAAGACCTGAATCATTGCATCTGGGTACTCTGCAACCTGCTGAATGTCAGACAAGCTGCTCAGCTTTTTTTTACTTCTAAGGGCACTGCTTCTCCAATTAGCTGGATCTCTGCTGTGCTCCCAGGTAGCTGACTGGAGAAGCAGTAGCCTTGGAATAAAAGCTGCAGCAAACAGGTGGACCACCTTGGAGGTTCCTTGCAGCTCCGTATACCCCCACACGCTGCACAGGCCCTCATCTTCACAGGGGCCTGCAAAGTATCTGGGTGATCCTATATTGCCACACAGCAGTGTTGGGTGTAAGCAGGCTTTGGGTTACTAGCGCGGTTTCTTTTTCTTACCCTCAGCTTTTTGTTTGGCGAGCTCAGATAACGTGGCACTGACTTGTGTGCATTCTCCTTGCCGCGCCTGTTCCTGTAACTGCCATTGTTCCTTGTCCACTCCAGGTCTGGTCACTGTTCCCACATCACCCGTCCCTGCAGCTGCCTCAGCCTAATCCTGCAGGTTACAGCTGTGCTGTTGCCACTTCACAGGCATTTCAGATATTCCAGGTCTACAACTTCTTTTTTTTTTTTTTTTTTTAAAAAAAAGTCCCAGAT